GCCTTGGATCCCTCGTCCCTTCACTGTCGACCTTTGACCACGGAGGAGTTAGACGCCTATCTCAAAGGTCTGCCGGGCTGCATTCAGATCTCCGAAGAATCCTTCCGCTTCGACTTTCAGCTAAGGCGCACGCACCCCTTCAACTCGAATGCCTTCGACGTGTTCGCGACCTCTTTTCTCAAGTCTGCCGAGTTTGGTGCATATGATGACCCAACTCCCTTGCCATCCCGGTTCCTTCAGAAACCCCAGATTGAACGAGCCATCTATAACCACACGAAGTCGGCTAAATCAATCTGGTACCGGAAATTCGTCTCTCCTGAAACTGAAGACGACATCCATGATCGCCTGTCGGCTGCTGCACGGAGCACCAGGAAACGACGCGTGAGTAATCTCGCAACGGCTGATATCACCATTGACGATCGCCCCAGATATATGCGGACAGGGCCAATGCCGTACAAAGGGAGGCACGTGAATGGCAGCAGTCGTTGGACGCTATCGTCAAGCGCCTGTCAGCGCTCGACCCGCGCGAGAAGGAGGGCCTTTAGGTCGTCGATGAAGACTACGATTTCCAACCTTTATAACGCATTTCGCACCCGCTTTCGTATCAGAAAGCTCAGTATTATGATCGTTCTCAGAGCTCATAGGTCCTGTACGACGAGCCTGGTAGTCAGGCGGATTTGCGGCTGAGGGCTGGTCCCGTTTAGGAAGTTGCCGCAAACGTGTACAATGTATTCACAGCCTCAGTCAAACGCCTTGATGGGATATACCTCATTTCCGTCTCACCGTGATCGCAAACACTCGCTTTCACTGCGGATGTATAGTTACGATAAAGCATAAGTCGCTCCCGGTGCCCAAGATACGGGGTTTTGATTGTGCGGGCGGTCAAATGATGGAGCATGTACTATAGTGTACGATCGGTGCGTTGCGCGTTACAGGGTATTCAATGTCGAGCCGGTGGTCGAACGCATGTTGCTTCCTGAGGGCCATAGTACACGCGGGTGCAACGCGAGGCAAATATGGAACAGGAGGCAGCAGTGTCGGGCTCAACGCGACTTCGCTCTATGGTGGTGGAGACAGCAGTGCAGGGTCCGTGCTTGTGCATGGGTCCCGCAAGACAGAGCGACCCAGTCCAACAAGTCCTTGCAGGGATTGACGACGGACGCCACGCAGTACTTGATGGCTCAAACCTAGCCCTGAGCTGAGCACTGGATGCCGTAGCGTATGGATGGAAGGGTGGCGTACCACTCCTTCCACGGGCACGAAAGTGTTGGAACAGGGCGACACGTCTGATTCGCGCGAAATTGAGTCGCTTCCCAGCTACCGCGCGTGCATCGCGTAGTGGCCCGGCTCCTAGTTCATGTTGTCTGAGCAGGAGGCGCGCTCCCTTCTATTGGCGTGAGCCAGATCCAGCTGAATCATGTTTCATTCTAGCGGTAACATGCTCATACACGCGAGGGTGTAACAAGTCTGGTCTACCAGTTACATAGAGCATTACCAGTTACTTGTTCGTGGGTTGAGGTTAGTTCAGCCGCCGAGGCCGAAGCCGCGGTCACTTGATCAAATATCGCCCTCGACGTGTTGCACGAACCTCCCCCGCATCCAGAATATCCTCGAACAGCAAGCAGTTTTACACGCACAGCTCCCCAAGATTGTGCCACGCATTGACCATACAGCCTATGCAGCGAGCTCGGCGATTTTCCACCTGGAGAAAGCTTGGCAGTGAGTATATTGCATACGTCTGGTATGAAAGACATTGACTATAGAGATACGACTCTGTGCGCCTTGCTTCCTAATTGCCGTCGCGATGACCCATCCCAGTGCGCTGTAGAAGGTTATAATCCGTTGGGAATGTTTCGAAAGACCATTTGAACTCGGGCGCGCTTGTCGGCGATGCTACAGATAGTAAGCTTCGTGACCACAACGTCGCCGGCGTTGTATGAAGCGTACCATTCACAGTCTTTCCGGAGAATGCACCACAGATGTGCTGACCATTGCCTCGGGGCAGTGTACTGTCGAAGGCACAGCGACGAATGCATCACTAGACGCAGACGGCAAGATGGGACTGCGACGAATACGAGCTAGGAACGTCAGATGGAAACAAGAATCGTCGTCACCGAATACACTGACAAGTGGGAGCATTTCGTGTCAATGAACTATGGACGACGTCAAGCTCACATCATATATCCACTGCGGCTTCTTCGGCGATGTTTCACAGCTAGGTTATCATCGTCGTGAGTACCTCGTTATTCTTGGTCCAGTCAGGTACCGCTGTGCTCTCGACGGCTTAAAACATCGAGGCGCCTACGGCGATGTGAGGATACTAGCGCCGCAAGCGCGCGGCGGATTCGCTGATGTAGGATGCGAGTAAGGTTGTATAGAATATGCGAACGATCTTATCCAACAAGAGAGAGATGATCAGTTTATTGAATGCCGTCTGTCTGGGGTCGTTTGCGACATACGAAACGACACGTACTCTAAGGGAGTGACAGTAGGGGGCAAGAAATCTTGGTCGTGAAGACGAAGACTGGAAGTATTGCAAGTCGCCGTCCCAACGCCGTCCGGCGTTCTTCGGCGATGGTCGCAAGGAGGTCGGCCGAACGATTGAGTATGTGATGACGGTGCGTTGCGTTCGCTGAACTCAGGCGGTGTGACCGGATGATTGATCAGCTTGTGTGGAGGAATCCCGCTCACCATCGTGAACGGCGAACCCGGAAGACTAGGGGTCGTCTTGATTGATGCCGCTGTAATACAATGTGGTGCAGGATACTGGCACAGAACGCCAGTGTCCAGAGAGCAAGATGACCGCGAGCGATATACCGACGTCTTGAAAGTCCGGCGAGATCAACGCTGCCGTGGTGCGCAGGTAGGTGCCGTCAGGAAGACATCGGGGCCTAAGACAAAGCAAGGAGCAAGCTCGAGACCTCGGGTTTCGCCGAGCCAATCGTAGATCCCCAGGACTTACGCGTCGATTGCCGGAGTACGGAGTTGGTACGGAGATCCATCATCGCGGGTTCTTCGGCCTTTAGCGCAGCAGCCTAACGTGCAAGGTAAGTGACGTCACCAAGACCGGCAGTCCCTGGAAGTCGTTCACAGGTGCAGATGGCCCCGAATTCCCCGTTAACGTTCCTTCACACGCCGATTGCAGTTGCGACGATCGCTCGTTCTGAAGCGACGGGCAAAAGACAAGTGCAATGCTATGTACACCCGAGAGCTGGGGTATCAGCGAGAGACAGCGATACGAACAGGAGCCATGCACTAGTCATCAAATCACATATGATGAAACCACGGGGGCCTGCCGCGCAGTCCTCCAGTGTCAGATCCTTTCGAACGTCTATTCACGCAGGCTCGGGGCAGGGTATCCTTGTACCCATGCGTGTTACGCACTATCACTACTCAGCACTTAGCGCCTGCAGTACGCGAACGAGCGACACGGCGCGAGTTGGCAACCGAAATGAGGCTTATAAAACACGCGCGGTCATCTGTGCTTCTATCAGCTTGACTTCGTCCTCCACCATATGCGCGTTATACTTTAGCCAGACCCATCTCTCCAGCGAAAGTTTGGCTCAGTCATGAGTTTCTTTGTCTGTCCAGAACGGAGCCATCCGCATCCTCGCGGGATAAGCGTGATTGGGGTTGTGGTTTACGTGTATCGAGTGCTAGTGGAGTAGATCGAGGACCTGGTCCCCGTAAGTCTTCCCCTATGGGCATCTGCACAGACAGCTGCGCGCGATGCGTTGCTGGTCCACGACACGAGCGTATAATTATGTCTGACTCACAGGACAAAGCAAGCACTCTGCTTCACGCATCAGCAGCGCTCTAGAACAGCAATCAGCGAAGATCCTCACGGACCGCGCCCCGTAAATCTCTCTTGCTTTGTCCTCTCTCGGCTGAGACGACCTTATCATACGTCAGCGTGTGATCTCAATGTAACAGTTAAACCCACAGGGTCATCCGGTGGCTCCTGCTCGGTCCCTGCTAAGCTGTCGCGAATAATTATGGAGGACACGCCGACCAGCGCGCTTGTCAAGGTCGAAGAGCCTGAATGGTCTCTTAGTCTTGCTCACTTGTCGTACGACCGCACTGGGCAAACGTCGTCAACAGGAATGACACTGGGCCCAATAGGATCGTCACACTCGGTATGTGCTTGCTTGCAATCCGTACTTCTCGTTCTCGTCGCGCTGACCTGCCCGTTCTAGATGAAGCAGGCGGTGGCAACTGTGGAGGACACGCCGACTAGCGCCGCGCTTATCAAGTTCGAGGAGCCTGACTGGCCTCCTGGTTTCGCTGATTCGCAACGCAACCACGTCGGACACTTCTCGTCAACAGGAATGACACTGGGCCCAATAGGATCGTCACACTCGGTATGTGCTTGCTTGCAATCCGTACTTCTCGTTCTCGTCGCGCTGACCTGCCCGTTCCAGATGAAGCAGGCGGTGGCAACTGCGGAGGACACGCCGACCAGCGCCGCGCTTGCCAAGGTCGAAGAGCCTGACTGGCCTCTTAGTCTTGCTCACTCGTCGTATGATTGCTCTGGACGAACGTCGTCGACAGGAGTGTTGACGCCAGGATCAGAAGGATTGCCACGCTCGGTATGTGCTTGCGATCCACGTTTTTCGCCTCCCTCGGGCTTACCTGTCCGTTCTAGATGAACCAGGCGGCGGCAACTAGGGACCACACGCCGACTAGCACGGCGCTTGTCAAAGCCGAAGATCCTGACTGGTCTCTCGATTCTGCTCACTCGTCGTACGACTGGACCGGACAATTGCCGTCGACAAGAGCGATGTTGGACCCAGCAGGATTGTCGCGCTCGGTACGTACTTGCTACGCTACCTGAATTCCTCGATCCTCTTCAAGCTGACCTTACTATTCAGAGAAGGAAGCCGATGCTGTACCAACCTTACCCAGTCCGCGCCGACCGTACAGACGTGGCATTTGGTGCGAATGGCGCCACGGCTAATAGTGCTGTAAAGCGCGAGATCGTTCATGCATCGCCTGCACCGTTGGTGACCCCTGCACGGCCTGCGCCGCCCGAGACCCATCGTCCCGTCGTCGGGAGTCATATCTATGACGCCGTAGTTCATTTCTTCTGGATGACTGAGGTCATCGGTGATATTGTTCGAGAGAAGGCGCGTGTACTTCAGACGACCACGTGGATGCATGCAATGGATTTGATCTGGTATGCACTACTTCGTCCAACGTGCACTGCAGTGCTCAACCACCATAGCGATAGGGCAGGAGAAACCAGGATGCGCAAGGCGATCCGTCCAGGGCAAGATCAATGCCTCATGACAAGATGCCATTGTCCGAGGCACATCGCAAGGTGCCGCGTTTTAGCTCTTGATTGGCTCGCGAAAGGGACGAGGACCCGTACCAAGAAGGCTGTATCTCCAGGTTCGTGAATTTCGGTGCTCGTATTTATCGTCCGCGAAACAATAACTCGAGAAACGTTTCGAACAGACGAGGTTGAAGACTATCTCATCATCTCTCAGCTCTGCAAGTGGTATCTCTATCGCTCGGAGTTCTCCACTCTTGTAGAGGAAAGCGCGCGCAGATCGGCATTCTGCGAGCGCGTCGATCTGCGTCTGCCTGTCGCGTTCCCAGACATCGGTACGGCACACGTTCGCTTCGCACTATCCCAGTACTTTGCGCCGACTCGCCAGCCGGAGTATATGCTAGTGCAAGAAACTGATTTGCCGAAGATTGTCCCGAAGCAGGAGATGGAGTCTCAAGCACAAGAGCTCGATGCCGTCTCCAGCTGCGGGACTTTACTCTCTTTCACGAGTTCTGGTGGTCAATCGCCGGCCGCGCCCGTGATAAGTGTCAAGGTTGATCTCGACGATGATGAAGAGAAGGAGCTAGTAATTCGTTAAGTAATTGCCATGTACCCCTCAATTGAGATGATGTGCATACGTACATACTTGTAATGCTCAGCGTGGTTGTCGATATACTGGAAAGTCTAGAGAACGGTATCAGTTTACCCATGATCTCAGCCAAGAATGAGACTACACCTGGGTGTCATCAGAGCCACTGAGACAGGGCCATTGGCACGCAAAGGACAATCGTAGTCTCCTTCGCAAACGGAAACGATGCGGTGGAGGGAGAACAGGGCAGAATCCGTCGATCATCGTTGGCTACGCATCATGGCCCGGTCGGCCGAGGGGTCGAGGCACGAGGCTCTGGGACCGCACCTACGTCCAGCCGAGCGTGGCGCGCGTGTTTCCTGCGTGTCTGTCCTTCCGACCACCACCACTGCAATTTTCGCGTCGGCGTTTCCGCGTACTCTACGCACTCTTAATCTCTCGTTTCTCTCCGACCCTCCCTTTCCCTCCCACGTCACGTACACCACTCGCATCGCCTGCTTGATTGTCTCCCTCGTCCCGCGCTCGAACCATAGGCTGTACCCTTGCTCTCATAATTTGAATACATGTAACCGTTCGAACCACCTGCTCGATTTATTCAATCGTAATGTACTCAATCCGCAAGCGGCACCGCTACTTTCACTTCGAGTACATATATTCTAGCCAGACCACTCTCGTGGGTTCCTGTCTCCCGAATCGTAGCCGTGAAGATCCCACCCGCCCAGGCGGCTGCGCTCCTCACGCCGCGTCCGCGTCGGCTGTCGCCATCGTTCACCCAACCTGCAGGGAGCAGGAAACCCCGCGAGTAGACGAAGCTGGACCCCCGTGTGGCACCCTCCCAATTCATCAGAGTCTCAAACTTACTGGCGCAGGACGGAAGTAGTGGTCACGATAGCTGAAGGTGTACTGTAGCTAATCGAGCTGTCTCCGCTTTCAAGCAGTGTTTCATTTCGTCTACGCCATCCGCAGGCCTACTTAGCGAGTCGTACGACCTTGACGGCTATGTGGGCGCCTCTCTTCGGGTTGCTCATCACATAGTATCGAAATATCTGCTGTAGTACGCTGTCTAGCGCCGCGAAGGATCTCGCTACTTATCTTGGACGCTTACAATACGTACTTTGAGAAACAATCTCGCTCTACTGTGCATGTACGAGCGCGGACAGCGAGCGGAGCCTTTCGACCAAGGTTTGGTCCTTGAATGTTTGCGGTCTTGAGGATATCTGACAGGTCACAGCTTTGTCATGATTGCAGGAAGACTCCCGCCAAGAGCTATCTCGGTATGCAGATAATTGCGTCTAGATCAACCGTCTTCGCAGACAGGCAGAGCCCGGTCGGCGTATTCGAGTGGACGCGGGTTTCGTTATACCAGTATCTCAACATCATCACTCGAGGAGCATGAGTAGTATGCGGTCGTGTACCCAACTCGATTACACAGGTCGATTGCGTAGAGTCTGAAGAAGAACATGTAGAGCATCCTCCATAGGTGACAACCTAATAGGTGCTCCCGCAATGGGCCCGCGACACATCGGACAACGAGTCTGAGTAGATGGCGCCCTCTTGCAGACTGCTTTGAGACAGGTGGAGCAAAAAGCGTGGCGGCAGGAAGGTACGCTGCGAGCACGGCGTGTTCAGCGCTTACATCCTGAGTAGCTACGAAAAGGCTTACAAGTACGGTCGTCTCATCGTCTCAAAGCAGATCGGACACTGAGCTAACTTGTCCAGAAGCTCTCGAACCTAGTCGCGTTATCAATCGGTGAGCGACAACTGGGAATATCAGCGACGTACGAAGGGCAGCTTATTGTCACGAAGATCTATCAGAGCCTTGAGCTGCTGCCGTACTTCACGTGCGAGATGCTCCTCGAGAGATCTGAGCTAAGAAAGTTCAGCGGTACCCTAGGCTTGTCGATGGGGGAATCAACCTCGGCTCCTGACTGCAGCTTAGAGTATGGGTGATATCGACTCTCTGCGAGTGGACTAGGACGGTCGCCGTCATGAGCCTTCGCAGAGTCACTGGGTGCTGGTTGGCTATCCAGAGCCTGAGCCAGAGCCACTGCAATGGAATCGAAGGTCTCGAGGAGTGGTGAGTCCATGCTTGAAAACGTTCATCATGGGAGACGGTTGCTTTTATGCTCATGGGGAGATGAAGTGGCAGAACCCGCTTGGCGCACAAAGAGCCATCCGTAAAGAAGCCCTATCATGGTGGTAGGGATGGTTTCCGCGACTCGGAAGCGCGAACACGGAGATCGCCCGACTTCCATCACAACGTGGGTATGCTACCTTTCGATTCAGTTTTACATAATGCTGACGGCGACTCGCAAGGCGCGGGCCAAACGCTACCTACAGAAAGGATCTCCGGTATCCGCGGACGAGCCCGAAGGCTAACTCTAGGCTGGGTCGAGAGAGCCAGTTGCGCGTAGCCTTGTACTACTAATCGTTCCCTTCTTGCGGGACAACCTTTTGTTTGTGTATATTTATTTGGGCCCGCGCACTGTCCGAATAGGGCCGGATTCACCGGTGAGGCGGTCTCTCTCGTCGATCGCGATATTCTTGCTTGTGTGGACTATCACTTTTCACTTGGCGCCTACTGCGCGATACTGTTCAAACAAGAAGAACTTTTTACTTTGCGACCCAGATCGGGCTTGGATGCGCAAGCCCGACCGTCCTGCCATGCCTATAGCCCCACGGCCTCCCTTCCGAAAACTAGCGCTCACCGAGTCACTGGTGTGCATTGGCGTAGGCTTCTTGCTCGTCGTAGTGCGCTGAGCGGCCAATGGAGGCCGTATGCCAGTGTATGTCAAGCTTAGAGGCTAGCCCGTGGGAGTCATCAGCCTTATCGACGCTAGCGTCAGTCGATGGCTGTTTGATCGAGGTCGCTCGTGCCACACCTCCAGCTACTATGTCCTCAAGTGAGCTGTTTATGCGAGTGAGCACTGCGCTCGCAAGACGGTGCCGACTCACAACATTCGGAGCGCCCCCGGCTGAAGTTGCTCTTTGTGTCACGGCACAATCCGCGTCCTCCTGCCAAGAATGCATTATACACAATGACACCTGGGTCATGGCCTCGGACGGCGCCGTATATGCTTGATTGCGCTCTTTGTCTCTTTGGATGTTGATGATCATTGCCATTTCGTCTTTCGTGAACTCCGGCACAGACAAGCGACCTTGAAGTTCGCAAGATGCCGTGTGCCCGGTCAAAGATGCTCTTTGTGTATGTGACACGCCCTTATCCCCCGTCTCGCACATCGCCGGGTGCTCTTTGTACACTGTCATCTAAGCCATTGCGAATCCCATGCTATATATAAGAGCGTGGTGAGCACGAAGTTGCACGCTTCCAAACAACCGCCACCTGCCGATCGCTCCAAAAGTGACGAGCTTTCCTCATTCGATCTCCTAGTTCTAATGAGAGTGATAGATCCCCGAGATGGCACGCACTGTAGCGCAGGTTACCTATAGCTCCACCACCAATGGTGTGCATAGCGACGAAGCCTCGGGCCATCCTGAAGATTCCGGTGAGTGACGAAGCGGCAGATCTTGCATCACAACTCATCATCACCCGAAACCCATAGTGCATACCTACCCTACTTTCCTTGCCGGGGTCCACCGTGCAGCGGTCGAGGACATCATCGAAGACTTGGTCACTTTCCTGACCTCTGCCGGCGTCGATGCGCGTTTCATGCCGAGGCTGCGCAATGATCTCCAGACCATGGGGGTCGACATGCCCGTTGACGAGTTTGCGCAAGTGGTTGCGCTTCTCAGGTCGGACTTCGAAGAGGGCGTGCGATTGATGAACATGCACGGGAGGTTGTATCATTTGGCTTATGTGGTCATGGAGCATCCTCTGGCAATGTTCAGAGTACTCTGTTATGGCGTCTACGATATAGTGAGAGCAGAGATCCGCAGACTGCTCATGCTGTAGTCTCCATCACTCTCATCTCCTCAACAGTAGCCTCTTATGCACTCCAATCGAATATCTCGCTTTCACGTCTTTGAATAACAATCACCATGATCGTGTATGGCATCAGATGGGGAGTAAGGAAGTATCGCTCAACGTAAGACTTATGGCTTGCGGCCCGTGTCGTATCGGTCTGACCTGCCCTTGTCGCTGGAGACCGCACGGACGTCGTGCTCAGTGTGAAAGTGAATAGCTCATTCAATCACGCCTCGCGAGTCGGCGAGGCGGTCCGAGGCGGTCCAATCGGAGACGCAGCGCATCTCCTAAGTCCGCGATGGACGTTACACGGTATCAGGGACGGTACGGGGCGCACATCATGCACCGAGACTCGTCTCAGTGAGATGTCGATACGAATCACCGGCAGACTTGCTCTTGCATAGCGTCTGTCGGTTTCAGGGAGCAACTGCCGGACAGTACTCTGAATAAAGCTCCCAAGTGAGATCGGTCGCAGACCTAATCATGATTGTACGGTTCTAGCGCCTTGAGCGCAGTGTGTGCACTGTTTATGAGCAACTTCACGTATATGGTGGCGCTCAGGTTTGGGTCGCGAAGAAGGCTCAGCCCACTGGCCTATCCTTGGAGGGTGCTCGATGATTCGATGATAAGGTAGCGATTCGCTGCAAGCAGCCGATGAAACGTCTGAAGCATATATGCTGATACATCCGGCTTTATCCACGCGTACGGAAACGTCGTAAACACTTCCGCGAATCATACGAGCGCCATCAAGCTCACTTGGCAAGCTCATGAGCGTCCATCCTGTGTCATCTTTCCTGTCGACCCGTGAGAGCAACGGCCTCAAGTTCACTGCGTTCATTCTAATCAACCTCTAGTAGCGTAAAGAACCGGCCTATGAAACCTACCGAGCGGATGGAAGGAGCATGTCATTATATGCGCACGAATACGATTCGATGTGGTCCGGACGGACGATTCGACACTGTTAGGCACTTCGGTCAGCTATGGAGAGATGGGGATAGGTCATCGTATGCACCTGAGCAACCTTATATGAGGGGACGAACATCTTGTCGCTTATTCCGCTCTGCTCGAGGGAGAGGTGACTGGTACTCCCGACATCGGCATAAACGTGTCAGCACAAGCATGAATGCCCGACTAACATTCGCACGAACCATCATTTGAGGCCGATTGACGTCGTCAACCTCGCGTACTTCCGCGGTGTAGATCATTGTGCACTTGCGTTCAATCGCTTGCCGAGCGCTGACGTAGTTGGCCGCAAAGAAACCATCCCATACGAAAGTTGTGTGAGACTATGATGAGGTTTGGTCAGAGCAGGTCGACGCTGACGAATGTACCGGCACCTGAGCTTTGTTGGACGACACCGCACCGCTTGGGCGGTCGGTCATGATTTCATCCGCACAGATCCGCAGGTACCAAAGGGACGATGGTCGGAGGTGAAAGCAAAGGCCGGCATATGCATGAGATACATAGCAAGGGGATCTCCATTGATAGAGCGCACCCAGACTGCGGATAAGCCAAGAGTGCCAACGCACCCGAAGGGTGAGTCTAGTTCGACTTCCCATCGGGGGAGATGCCGGGCATGAGGCGCCTTTGGTCAAAGCAAGGGATGCACGATCAGCGAAGGACAGATCGATGAAGGACAAAGAGCAAGGGGCTCGGACATTCCCGATGTTGGACAAGAGGGAGGGGAAGGTTGAGGGAAGAGGAAACTTGCGTCGCGTGGTGGCCGATCCAGACTTTCTCTTGTCGCGTCGAGATGCATGGTCTTTGAATGTAACGTCCAACATCGAGCGCCGAGAACCAAATCGCAACTGCGCCATACCTCACCTATACAAGCTCTTTCGAGGGATACTGCGGGGATGCCCTGTCAACCGCGAGTCGACCTTCGGACGTATCCGGATCGTCGGCCCCCCTGAGACACGGCATTCTCCCTCCGCCTCCTTCAAAGACGTTTGCTCTTTGTCTGAACGGTACACCATCAGATGCGGCTGCGACTCTCGTTCTTCGGCAGCTCCGAAAGAGCTCAGGTCGCCTTTCGCGTGTCCGTAGCCTTATAAAGCGGCTCGGTATGCTTGACGCGCCATCGACCTCCGTACTCCATACAGCATGAACGGCGTCCCAGAAAAGGTCTCCATCTTCATATACCCTATACACCCTAAAATCTCATTCACTACCCTAGTTCGAACTACTGGACGACGATCGCACATTTGCTCAGCGTCTGCCCAACGGCGACCTAGTCAAGATGGATTGGCATACCGATGCGGATGTTGTGTCTATCTCCCACTCGCAGGTACTTGAAGACATGGCTTGCAAGTTGAAAGCGAACGAAGAGGTGAGTACTCTATAGCCCACTCATACGTGTGATTGATGAGTCGGCTAGGTTCGGGCCAGCTTAATTCGGCGCATCGCCGTCTTAGAGGGGCGCGACCCCCTTCTCTCGCTTCAGGTCACTCAGGCCTCGGTAAGCCTCGGAATCTCTCATATCTCAGATGCAGCGACTGACAGTCTCACTTAGGGAGAGCCAACTGTAAGCTTACACTGTTTTTCATTTGCTCCTTCGCTCAGACTCTAAGCCAATAGACGCACGACATCTCCGTGAACGATGGCGCACTCATCAAGCTCTTGAAGTGCAAGCTCTCTGGTCTGGAGAAGGTGAAGATACTTGCATCATGTACCGCCCTATAGACCTCTCTCTCATACTCTCTGTACAGTCGTGCACCGCTCTGAAACGTCGGGTCAACGAGCTTGAGCGGGGCACCGGCGATTTGAATCTCCGCTGCGAAGCCCTGCAAAACGAACTGCAGCGCGCGCAGGCTCGTAGCGTCCTAACTCGTGTATGTCTATCGCAGGCTTTCTTGCTACGCTCCATGACGTTCGTGTTGCAGGACGTACAATCTTTGGTCGACGGCCTTGCGCAAGCACTCGAGTGCAAGCTCTGTTACTGTGTCACACAAGACCTCCATACGTGAGTGTCCCTTATTCCTGACTCGGCCCCTGCGCCATATGCACGCGTACTCAATCCTCTCTAGCCTAGGCTGCGGGCACTCATTCTGCAGCCAGTGTATCACAGGATGGTTCCGCGCATTGCGTGACAAATTCGTAGAACGACACGACGAATGGGACGGATATCACCGTCCATATGGGACTGAAGTGGAGGCTGGCCCCACGTATACATGCCCGGGATGCCGCAGCATCCATATGATTAACACTTGCCCGCAGCCATCCTATAAGCTGGTGGACGTGATAAGGATTGTCGAAGGTAGCATTGATCTTGTCGATCGATCCGTTCCTGCGGCGGCCTGGGCGGACTTCTGCCGCTACGATTTCAGCTACGTTCGCGTTGTTGTATAAAACACAATACCGTACCTTACCTGATTGATTCGAACGACTAGAGTATACTGCTCATGCCCCACCTTCTATCTGAGCGACGCGCTGGCACTCTGCTCAACTTGATTGTGCCTATCGTGGTAGGAGTATAAGGCTGTAATTCTATCAAGCAGCGGCTGTTCGGAAAGCATAACGGCTTGGCCGCGTGTCGTAGGCTTTCACGACCGTAAGGGTTTGAGCATTGCGGACTTCGAGGTACCCGCGGAGCATGAGCTGTACAGGGGCACGAAAAGGTATTGATATTGTTTGTAAGCGTCTGGCCTAGGATTTGTCGAAGAGGTTGGTAATGTCAACTCCCCTTCCGCTCGCTGCAAAGCTACTAGGCCTCGACGCTCGCTCAAACACCTCGAAGAGGATCAGTGTATGTAAACACGTGGCCTTTCTGATGCCGCTAGCATGCTGCGGTCGCGAGGCTGCGAATTTTCCGTTCGCTTTCGCTTGCTCTCACCCGCCATGTCATCTCGTATGGACAACGCGAGACCATTGAAGGCATTGTCGAGGATGTGAGTCCAAGCTTGCTCTGTTGGGAAGACATTCCCTGACTTCGTTGATAGATAGATCGAGAGCTCGACGAGTTCGAGATCGCGTACGTCAGACTTGCCGTTCGGTCAGGCTTCGCCGAACAGCGATCCATCCGCAAGGACCTGTTCGCTGATGAGCGGCGTCTCGTTAAGCTTGTCGAAACTGTGCAGAGGAAGATGTCAACCCAGGAGTGGTTGGAGATCTGGCTTCCCAATGGGCGCGCCGAGCGGTGACTGGGAACAAGCTACGTTTGACGAGGCTTTACGATTGAAAGAGCAGCACTCCAAAGCAAAGCAGATGGTTGCCCGCCCGTGCGTCTCGTTATCCTTCACTCGGTACTGCACAATGACTGATTTTCAACCAGGATCAGCGAATCCGGTCTCACCGCCCAGCAGTACGCAGAATGCGAGCGGGTTGTGCGCGAGTGGCTAACCGGCCCCGCCGGGCCTTCGTCGGCATCGATCGAGTAGTCCTTCGACTTGCACGACCCTGGGCAGGCTTAGGGAGATAATTCTTTCTATGCAGGTCGTCGGGCACCCGCTTAACGTTATCGCATTGCATGTCTTGTTGTCGTCTCGCTTTGTAAATCCTTTGACATCCATTCTGAATACTTTGCAAATCTCAACTTTGTATGTCCGCCCGTTCTCACACGAGAAACGACGCTCTCTGCAACAGAGTGACTAAGCCTGCAAACAAGATGACACTACGTAAAGGTGGAGCATCGGATTACAACTGCAGCTGAAGTCCGATCGACGATCCGTTGAGGTAGACACCGTGATACTGTCGACGAAAGGTTGCCATATTTTGCTGCGCTGTAATACGATTTCGAAGGCTCGCTGATACCATGACCATCGAGGAAGCAACAGCAAATGAGCATACATCACACGAGAAGACGCTAGGCCCGCCGGTACTTCAAACACACATTGCCACTCTAGTCCCACATGTGGTCATTGACCGGGAGCCGTCGCGGGACGAGTCACGTCGATTTCGGCGAAGACGCCGCGCCGCCTGTGCGACAGGGGTACCCTTCGAGCCCTTCGATACCACGGCTGAGTGGGAGTATACTGGATGGGCTCAAGATCATAATCCTCTCTTTCCATGTGGAGTTCCTCCATCTCATGAGAGTGGAGCGTCTGGAGCCATGCCTACCGAACGGTTACTTTGTGTATAAATGAGGGGCGAGACCAGAGAATACTACATACCTCATCATAACAGTTGCGAGGCAGACCGCTCGGCGCCACGGCAGCCTGGTTGACTCGAGTAGAAACTTCGCGATGGCGCGGGTTAGCACCTGGCTTCTGACGATGACCCACTCTAGGCCTGCTCAGATCCCGAACAACAGGATCGAGTGAGCGTTGCCAATTTTGGAATGCGGCGCTTCTCCAAGCAGGGGATATACGAAATGTCTTGTCCATGGCCTGGCCCGTCACGTCGGTAGCGAGCTCGTCCGAAGACTCGTCCGAACTGACTCCTTGCACACCGGCGGTCTCCATCAGTTTCGTATGCACGGGGAATTGTTTCTCCACCGCGTCCAGCCTCTTCTCGTACAACTACGCAGTATAATTAGCTGATGCGATGAGCGTTCACCGTATAGACGCACCCGATACTTTCTCGAACTCCGCGCACCCGCTGCCAAACGATCGTCCTTTTCCTCCTCCGTCTCCTTCTCGATGAACCTTCGATAGAATTGAGACTTGATCCATTTGGCGTGATTGTAAATGGCTGTGAGCACATGCCGACGCTGAAGAAACTCTTCGGGGAGTGGGGCAGGATGAGCATACTCTCCAGCTTCGACGCGCCTCAGGAATGACTGCGTGAAGACCGAGAAGGAATGCAAGTTGAATGGATGCGAGCGTCTGAGCTTAAAATCAAACCGGTACTCCTCTTCTGTGACCTGTATCCGGTTTGGAGACCGACTCTCAAAGTCATCAAGCTCTTCAGGCGTCAAGGAACGGCAACAGAGTAGATCTGAGTCCAAGGCACGGATGTCATCCACGTGCATGAGCTCCTTGAAATGCGTGCGGATGGCTCTCTAGCTCGATATTAGCGATGTACTGCACGGGGATAGTGATAGCTTACAAGGAATAGCCCATACAACGGATGCTCCGCAAGCTCTGGGTCCACCTTTGACACGGGGCTTGCCACAGCATGACCGTCCTTTCCATTTCGATGCTTTCTCCTATGCTTGTGGGCAGAAGAACCTTGCGCCGCAGCGGTGGATTCTTGCGTAAGAGGTTTTCGAGACTCTTGAATCTCATGACGTAGTGCGTCTCCCTGACTCTTGAGATCATTCATGACGGTAGTGTGCTGGTTCTGCACAACGCGAAACAAGTTTGCAAGGGATACTGCGACGTCTGAGCGCATGTCAGTATCATTGAGACGAACATGCGATTCGACGAACGCACCATCTGATGGACCTGGGTCGTCAGGAAGATTATTCGCAGTAGCAGATGCCATCCTCTCGCTGTCAGGATGCGGAGGTCTCGCAGGCGAACTCGGTGAAGCAGGTCTATGGGCCGGGCGGGGGGGGTCACGTGGAACGCTTGAAGGGCCTGCTGCGCCCGATGACAGTCCATCGCCACGCAGGGGCGCCTTTCCTTTCCATCTGCTCTGGCCCAGAGCAGGGTCAGCCGACTGGTCGCCGAAAGGGTTAGATGTACGAGAGGGCTTGGGTTTCGCTCGAGGAAAGTGGGGCGTCCCGATTCCTGCGGAGAATAGGACACATGATGAGCATGGTCCTAGAGCACGGTCAAGGTACTCACCTGAGAAAGGTTGCTTGTTTTGATCTTGATTGGTCTCGTTGGCATCGTCGCATTGCATATCGTTTTCCGGGTCGGGCATGTCTTGGTAGTACATATATCGCGACAGCGGTTCATGAGTCAGTCGCAAGCCAGACGATGCCGCATGATATTGTGCTTACCGGCAATGCCACTTTGGTCTAAATTAATCGGCTGTGTCTCTGTAGACGAGGAGGCTGTTTGTGGTGTGACATGGTCGTCTACCCGAGACGGGAATGACTCCGCATCCGGAGGTAGCGAGGTGGAGGATTCTTGAGCGGGCGCGGCACGAGGTTCCGGCGAATGAGAGGTCGTAGCGTTGGCGGAAGGCCCGGGAGCTCTCTCCGAACGATCAAAAGGCGGAGCGGGCTGTTCAGGTCCAGAGACACCAACATGAGAAGCCTCGTGCGTCTCCGCGACTTTACCTTCGGCCTTCGAGTGTTCTGCAGACCAGTGAGCAAACTTTGTCGCGTACTCACAACGGGATCGAGCCGCACGAGATGGTAGTTCGCCTGACGTGCCGCGACTATCTTCAAGGTTGGGCGATGGACGTGGAGTAGCCGACCTAATGTCAGGCTGTGCGTGCGACGTTTCTGGTCGAGAAGCAAGACTGGGGCTTGGCGGTGGGGAGATATGCATGGGGGTTGGCTCTCGTGAGAGAGCCGGAGGTGTATTGTCGACGTGAGAAGTGGAAGGGGTATTCACGGGTATGCTGGAAGAGTACTCGGTCATACGGCGAGGGAGACTACGCTGCTTCTGTTCTAGAGTTGAAACATCAATATTGGGCTTTTGTGGGATGGTGAGATCAGCGTACTAGAGAGGTTGATCTGGGATCGAACGTTGGCAAGTTTCTTCAGCGCCGCTGTGGCGAATTTATCTTGCCAATCACCAGTCTTTCATACCAATGAGCATCTATAAGGAACTGAGGCGGAGTAACGCACCACATTCCGATAACGAGCTGGTCGGGTGATATCATCATCATCGGCCTTCCTTTTGCTGCTCAAAGTGCTAGGTGGAGGAGGTCCCGAGGCGCTCATAGTGGCGGAAGGACGAAGATCATGATTCCCAGCACGTTGAAGCATTATGAATCAGAAAGGACAAAGAACAATCATGACAAAGAACAAGAAACAAAGAGCAATCCGGTGACAAAACGAGGGATCAGCGATATTGTCCTTAAGACGATAGACGAGCTCCGACATGCCACCAACGCCACGAGAGATAAGCCCGTTGTAAGAGATGTATTCCTGGATGGTGCGCATCCGAACGGTGAATGTCAGTCGAACGATGAGAATGCGAGCGGCGACGGCCGACCGAGGCGGTCGCTCGTGGATAAAGAGCAAAGGGGCGGGCACGGGAGTCGCCGCGGGAAAGGCGATCAGGCTGCGCATGCGAACGAGAGTGCCTGATGGCTCGCTCCAGATTCGGGAGTCCGTAGGATGATACCTGGGCATCACACATTCTGGAAAGGGAGCATTATGCCCATGCTATGGACGATGTGTCTGGGGACGATGTTGTGGTTACAGTCACAGTGCAAAGCCAGACATCCCGGCGCGCGTCGATCCGGGGT